AAGCCAGGGTAACAGTCAAGATCCGGAAAAGCGAAAATTAATCCAGCAACAGCTGGTGCTTCTTTTGCATGCCCATAAATGTCAGCAGCGTGAACGATCAGGAGTAAGTTACTTCTTCTTCTTCTTCGGACCTTGTTGGGGGGGGGGGGACGAGTTTTTAAAAAGGACATGAAATTTGCATGAATTGTCAGTCCCTCAACTTCCGGAACTGCTCATAAACAAGTGCATCCCTCCCCTCCGAAGAATGTCCCCGAAATCGCTGAATTTGATTGATTTGATGGATTGCCGGAAGGAATACGTGGGACATCACGACCAGTTGTAACTGTGCTCTGGTTCTCCATCTCTACAGCTGGAAACTTTCCCGAGAAAAAGGGGAAATGGACTGTGAAAAAATAAGCAAAAATTGAGCGTCGCAGTTTAATTTTTGTTTTTCTTCATGTGTTTTGAAAGAATGTAAATGTCTTTTTTAGGACAACGTAAATGGCCGATCTACATGTACTTTACCGCACTGCGCAACGATGAAGGACGTTTTACAGCATATGACATCGTGCAGCAGTGGACGCGCTTGTAACTGTAAGTTTTTAACGGCGAAATGTAAACCAACCACATAAAAAACATATCGTTGCAATTACCGGCAGTAAAATAAAATTTAGTAGACGGGATATTTTGACGGTTTCACAGGCAAGCAGTGGATTGCGGCTTTTTTTTTAGCCGGTACCCAAGAGATAAAAAGCAATCTTTTGGGAGTTATTTGAAAAGATAGCGCACATATTTTGAACAACCGGTGGGTACTGATTGGAAACGTGTAGTTCAAGGCTGAAGAATCTGGTTCAGCTGCGCCCAGCGTGTGGAGTGTTGTAAAAATTTTAGGGATATAAACAATGAATATCACTGGCGAGGAGATTGGAAGAGAACGGGGGCCTGAAATCGTCTATGCATTAACATATGCAGTTTGTTTGGCGTTGCGCCGGCCCACCACCGTGGAGAGAAACACAGTCAAATTTTGATAATTACTGGAAACACTGGAAGAGTTTCATCCCTAAGCTGTAAACACAGACGGCAGAATCGGCGCGGAATGGGGTAGGAATCATCAGTATAGTGTGCCATCTCGCCATGTTAAAAGGAACGGATCAGATGGTAACCGATCAGAAACGGATCAGACCAGATTGTTATGTTTGTATTAACTTGAAGTTTTGCTGTTTGTTGCAGATGCTCATTGCGCATCTTCACGACAGATCATATCTCACTGGAAAAATTGCGTACGTGATGACTGTCCGGTATGTAAACCGTTAAAAAGCATACAGAATGTGCCAGCACCCGATCGACGCACTGTTTCTGGCTCCAGTGAGTTTTTTATCTCTCATTGTGACTATTTCAGCTGTATTTTGTTTTATTTCTGTTTCAGTTATTTTTGCTGAAAATACCAAAATTAGTAGGAAAATCGGTGTGGGTGATCCATGTTACTGGTATTACTGGATTGCTCTTCTGTGTGCCAAACGCAGCTAAGCTATAGATGTATTCAAAAACAAGATGAAGACCAGTGAAGAAGAATCAGTCAGCAGTGTTAAGAAACTGCACTGAATTTTGTTGCGAGAGAAACATATACGTTTACTTTACGCATCCATGGCGAGCTCATTCCATAGGTCCATCCAGGAGAGACTTCCGGGGAGAGGGAAGAACGGGAGGTGAGGGGGTAGGGGGGGGGAGGAGCGGGAGTGAGGTTCCTGGGGGAGAGGGACAACGAAGGTGAGGATGACGGGGGTCCGAGGGGGGGGGGGGTTTCTCCCTACTCTGGAACTATGCAAAATCTAGGAATAAAGTTGTAACACTGCCACTTACAATTACTTTAGGCTTTAGTTTACTTTAGTTTTAGCTTTAGACCCGGGCTTTTATAGCCTTGGTGTCGTCTCTGTCGCTGAGTAGGGAAGGGGGAGAGGATGGGTGAAAGACTCTTCGATCCGGATTTTGCGTATTCTGAGGGCGGTAATTAGCCGTGAACAGTACCCACGTTTTTGTGTAGCGAGCAGTACCCTCGATTCCAGGTATTGAACGGGCTATGGGTTTGTTTAATTTTTAGAATTTCTAAAAAAAAAAACAAAATTTTTACAGTTTTTATTTAATTTAATTTTTAGTATTTTGGAATTTTTGTTGTATTTGATGGCTGTTAATTTGTAGGCAATGAAACGTTTGCAAATGCCGGAGCGGGAACACCGCAGCAGGTGGTGCCGTGCAGTCCGGGAGGCCCTTCAGCTGGTATGGATGCTGCTGTTGGAATGCCAAATCGTCTTGCTCCACCACCATCGCAGCAGCAGCAACAGCAGCAACCCCAATCTGTCCCCGGAGTACCCATAACAACAAATACAGCAGCAGCATCAGTACCGCCGAACATGACACCTTATGACTCAGCTGGACCATCATCGGTCGCCAGTGCCACCAACGTTTTGGAATACAATCCGATGAAGTTCGTTTTAGATTACTTTTTTGTATTAAATTTTTTGTACCGTACCCAGCAACTATTCTTTCGTCAGAGTTAGAAAAGCGGCTGTTTTCTTATGTCTATCATTAATGCAACTGGTAAATTTTTTTTTTTTTTCATTAGTGCTTTCTGCAATCAACATGGGCATTGGAGCACAAGTAAGCCTACTGTAGCAGCCAGGCTGGCCTTGGTAAGCCTAAGTGGCAAAGGCGCGGTAGAATACAGCATGAGAGAACGGTGTGGGAGAAGATAAGAATGAGATAAGACGTTTCGGTACATTAAATCATATAGGCCTTAAACTCAACACCAT